TTACTGAGCGTTGTGTCTGGATACTAATAAGGAAAAAGGGAAAGCATGGAGGGTCTCATAGGCCAATCCTGGGAATGGCCTAGAAGTAGCATACATCACGGCTGCCCGCATACCATTGGCTAGAACTCAATTACATGCCTCTCTCCCTGAAAAGGGCTAGGAAGTGAAATCTAGTTGGGTGCTCAGCAAAAAGAGGACAAGGAATCAGATGAACACTTCCAGTCTCCACTGCACACACATTTATCAACAATGTTTCAAATACTCTTTCTGGGTACAAAGAACTCTTTTCTGGAACTCTCTGGGATTCCCATTAGTCAGAAAAATTTCCCCTTTCTCCAATTGTTCTATTTCCCTAGGCTTTTTGTTCTGTTTTCCTGAAGATTTTTCAACATAATCTTATAACCTGTCAAATTCAAAAACTTTTTGAGTGTATTTTCAATTTTGAGAGTTTTTTTCCTGTCTTGCATATAAATTTCTTTTTAATTCATCTTCTATAGGAGCAGAGTGAAAATACGTGTTCATCTGATCAACCACAAATTACTCTGGTTTACTTTCTCCAGAAAACAAACTTCTCATCTCCTGGAGGCTGGGTTGAACAGATGGAGGAACTTATGGTTGGTTGATTGCACGGCAGTGGGGAAGGAAGCTTTGGGTCCAAGCATTCGGTATACAGACGTCTAAGCAAACCCCTGTGTTCACCCTACCACCTGGCCTCCTTCTATGGTGGTATTTCTGCCTCTTAGGCCTGAGTCGCCCAGGCTAACGCACAGAAAATTGTCTTGTTTCTTATCCATAATCTCTCCTCCAGGCAAGCAGTGTGTAAACTCTTCTCCTTTTCCAGGTCAGTTACGAGTCTGCATCTGATTTAGGTTCTTTCAACCATTTACTGCAGTTTATTTTGTCTTTTGAGGTCTTCTCTCCCTTGTATTTGTCTTTATGACTCCATAACATTTAAAAATCCATTTATTCTCATGTTAGAGGAGTTTGGGGAAGACGGGATGAAACACATGCGATCAATTTGCCATTAAAAAATTTTTATTTTTTATTTTTTAGAGAGCAGGAGAGAGAGCACGTGCGGTAGAGGGAGTGAGATAATCCCAAGCAGGCTCCACAATGTGGAGCTCAATGTGGGGCTCGATCTTACAACTGTAGATCAGGACCTGGATGGAAATCAAGAGTCAGACCCTTAACTGACTAAGCCATCCAGATGCCCTCCGTTTGTAATTAAAAAAAATTTTTTTTAGTTTATTTATTTATTTTGAGAGACAGACCGCATGTGAGCAAGCAGGGGGAGGGGCAGAGAGAGAGAGGGGATCCCAAGCGGGCTCTGCACTGTCAGCACAGAGCCCGATGCAGGGCTTGAATTCATGAACTGTGACATCATGACCTGAACAGAAATCCAGAGTTGGATGCTTAACCGAATGAGCAACCCAGGCGCCCCTGCCATTTCTAACTAGAAATGTACATGTACATTATGTATCTGTTTGCCTTAGGGCTGTATTTATTGATTGATAAACCTATTGACAATTTATGTCTATTTAATTTGTAGTACATAAACTTAAGGTACAGGAAGGCAATTATTTTTTAAAAATGTTTATTTATTTTTGAGACAGAGGGAGAGATGAAGGGGCAGAGAGAGAGGGAGACCCAGAATCTGAAGCAGGCTCCAGGCTCTGAGCTGACAGCACAGAGCTGGATATGGGGCTCGAGTTCATTAACTGCAAGATCATGACCTGAGCTGAAGTGAGATGCTTAACCGACTGAGCCACCCACCCACCCCGGCAGTTATTTTTGATTATGACACATAATGCTGTCACTTTGTTTTCACTGGTTTTGCAGGGTCTTTTATTCTGCTCTACCTCTAGTCAAAGTGGCCTTCATGAGATGGCCCAGAATCATTTCTTTTGTTTTCCCACCACCGTCTCCTCCTTGGAACCTGTCTTCCCACAGGGAAGGAAAAGTTCCACCACTCTCAAGTGGCTGAGTAGAATCACTATGTAACACTAATGCCTCTGAGCCTCAGAGCCCAAAGACAGGACTTAAGCGGCAAGCTACTCCAGGAGGGCTGTCCCTGCAAAAGTGGACCCATCAGGCAGCTGGCACGCTTATCTGGGGAAGGGTGACAAGAAAAGCAGATGATAAATGTCTATTAGACTTTCTCACAGCAGGAACTTTTTCTAGAAATACTAGGGAGGCAGCACTGTGTGGTGACCACCGTGAACCCTGTCTTTGGGATCAGCAAACCTGAGTTCTTTTTTCTTCTTATTTTTTTAATGTTTATTTATTTTTTGATAGTGGGGGAGGTGCAGAGAGAGAGAAGGACAGAGGATCCGAAGGAGGCTCTATGCTGTCTGCAGACAGCCTGATGTGGGGCTTGAACTCACGAACCGGGAGATCATGACCTGAACCAAAGTTGGACACTTAACCGACTGAGCCACCCAGGCGCCCCAGCAAACCTGAGTTCTACCTTTATGGATCTTCACGATTCTGGGCACATTGTTGGGACTTTCTCAGCCCTCATTTTCTTCCTTTTTAACATGGGAAAAATAAAAATAATACATGTTGTGTTGTGAAAGCAACAAAGCAGTGTTGTGCAAGTCAAATGAGATAATCTCTGGGCAAGGGTTTTATAAACCCCATATGGGAAATAATAACTATTAGGATTAATGTAAGTGAATACATAAACTGGGTGAAGAATTCATATTTTTCACTGATTAGTACAGAGAATTATTTATTTATTTATTTGGAATCACTTTAAATTTTTTTTTTCAACGTTTATTTATTTTTTGGGACAGAGAGAGACAGAGCATGAATGGGGGAGGGGCAGAGAGAGAGGGAGACACAGAATCGGAAACAGGCTCCAGGCTCTGAGCCATCAGCCCAGAGCCTGATGCGGGACTCGAACTCACGGACCGCGAGATCGTGACCTGGCTGAAGTCGGATGCTTAACCGACTGCGCCACCCAGGCGCCCCTGGAATCACTTTAATATGCTGCATACAATGGAATAAATTCAGAGTAAAGTTCTTTCTTTTATCTCTCTCCAGGCCCAGGGACACATACTTGTTATATACTCAGATATTGCTGATGGATGGAAAACAGATTTACCATAAATATTCCCAGCATACATATTTTGAAAATGTACAACCCAAACCTGCTATACTTCCTCCTAGTAGATCAGAATAATTTTTATTAATCAGGCCTTTGGGAGAATGGAGTAAATGAGTGCTACAAAATAGCACGTACGGACAACATGTATATAAAATTTATCTTGCCAGACACTATTGTATGAGCTTTGCTGATATGATCTCATTTACTCACAATAACACTAGTCAGGCATTTTATTATCCCCATTTTCAGGATAAGAACATTGAGGCACAGGAAATAGGACTTCCACGTTTTCCTAATAGAATAGATAGAATCTTGTGCGACCCTCTAATTTCTCCCATTGTCCTCTCTCTTTTTTTTTTTCAGTTTATTTATTTTGAGAGCAAGACAGAGACCATATACACATGTGTGTGCAGGAAGGGAAAAGAGGATCCCAAGCAGCCTCTGAGCTATCAGTGAGCTCAATATGGGGGCTCAATCTTACCAACCAAACTGTGAGGCCATGACCTGAGCCCAGATCAAGAGTCTGACTCTGGGGCGCCTGGTGGTTCAGTCGGTTAAGTGTCTGACTCTTGATTTCGGCTCAGGTTCTCTGAGTTCCTGCCCTGCATCGGGTTCCGGGCTGACAGTGTGGAGCCTGCTTGGGATTCTCTCTCTCCTCCTCTCTCCCTCTCTCTGTCCCTCCCCTGCTTGTGCTCTCTCCAAATAAATAAATATTAAAAAAATAAAAAGAGTCTGGACTTGCATTTGGTTTTGGTTTGGGCTCTTCCTTCACCTCCACCCACAGTACTTCTCAGCAAGATGCTCCCCAGCTGGTAATGGCTGTGCCTCCCACACCGTCCCTTAAAGCACCCTGCCAGAACTGGGTCAAACAATTAAAATTTAAATAGCATCTCATTGTTTAGGAACAATGGTTCGGAACTTTGAAATTTTCTTCACAGAGGACTAATTGAGGTGCTATTATATGTATACAACCTTGGTTTCTTCACAGAGGATTAACTGAGCTGCTATGATATGTATACAACCTTGGTTTCTCCCTCTTACCACCAGTGGGTTACCTAGGGATGTCAGAGTCTGTCTCCAATGTGACCTCAGGAGAGCCAGCCAGGAACTTTGTTGTGGACAGAAGGAGCTGGAAGTCTCTAGAGCAGGGTCTGCCACAGAGTAGGTACTTAACCCATATTGGTTCAGTGAATGGGTATGCTCTTGATTTCCTTCGACCTCATAGACATGACCTCTATAATTTACTACCCTCCTGATCTCTGAAGTGACGTTAGGAGGATGGTGCGTACTGATTAATGCCTTCACATGAACAGGTTCTAGCTTTTAAAACACTGATTTCATTAAGTCCCCTTTTATTTCCCGGGGCCCTTCTCTGTTCTCCACCCGCAATTCCGTGCTCTCCCCGCAGCTCATGAGACTTCCCCCGGGAGGAGAAAATGCGATGCGTTGGAAGCAGTTCTCACAGTGCCCTGGGCGGCTTTGAATGAGAGATTATCAGAGAAAACACGGGAACGCAGAGGAATAAAAATGAGCTCGCTGCGAGGGCCTCCAGCCTGCAGTGTGGGGAGCGTATCCAGAAGCCCAGAGCCTTTGAGTCACCGGCAAGATCTGCCCTAGGTGAGCTCCCGGCACATCCGCGTTAGGACCGGGAGACACGCCTTCTTCTCGCCCAGACCTTGCAGATCCCCGCGGCTCGGCCGACCCAGGGGTGGTGCTACCAGTCCTGCCACCGGCAGTCCCGACGGGCAGGGGCCGGGGACCCATCCCGAGCCACAGGCTGGAGAGCGGGGAGCCGTCCCCATGAGTGGCGCCCGGTAGAGCGGATCCCGAGCGGCCGCTGGCGTGGACAAGCCCCGGGGCTCACGGGCTTGGGGAAGGGAAAGGCGATTTCTGAAACCCGACACCCGGCCCTCTTCGCGAGGAAACTTCGCCGGCTGGTGAGTTGGGCGAGCCGGGCTGTTCTTGCAGGAATGCGATCCCACCCAGTCCGGGTGTTCTCGGCGGCGGCGGGCCGGGGAAAAGGAAGTGAGACGTGGACGGGAGGCGGCAGGCCCCGAGAGGGGCGAGCCGAGCCTGCAGGGAATGCGCCCTGCGCGCGCCGGGGTCGGGCGCCAGCGCGCGGGTCTGCAGCCGCCGCGGGGACCCGGGGTCTCGGGGACACTCGAGGGGGCTGACCCTGGCTGTTCCCGTATCCGACAGCTGGCTAGGAGTGAACAAACAGCATCCCCTCCCCAAAAAAACCCCGGGCACAGCAATGCCATTTTCTTTCCGTTTGTAGCTCGAAACCAGCCAGCATAATCATAATCGTAATCGTAATCATAACCATAATATGCTTAGAGTTTCATTGAAGGGGAAGTCATTTAGTGAGGCAAGCCAGGTAAGTGATAGGACATTTCCTTGCACTTCCTCAGGTGTAGGTGGCCGCAGAGAAATCAAAAGCAATTTCTGTCTTCCAGGTTTTGGCTCACTTATTTCCAAACCTGATCCAAGCGTGGCAGCTACTAGGGCGTGTGTGCTTGTTCAAGTGGTCACAGGACCTTGGCTTCCAAGAGTTTCCCACCCAACACAACATTATTTGATCATTCGAAAGCTGTTGAAGCAGGTGACTAGCGAAAGCTGGAGGCTGCATTCCTGGGGAAAAGCTGTGTTTGGTTAAAGTCACCACACCTGGAACATGTTTACTGGCTTTTTATTTCAAGAGCTAAAATTAAGAGTATAAGGTTCCAGGTCATTGAAATGATACATTATTAAATTAAGTCCAAATTAATAAATGTCGTTCCAAGGTCATTAGCAACAAAATTATTATCTAAGGTAACAGTAGCTATGAATTTTTATTTAGTTCTATTTTGTTAAATGTGTGCTGTTCTTAATATTTAGTTACAGTCCTGCATATTCAGTGATATAAATAAATAGATATGTGCATGGTTGTATAGTGCTGAATTTGAGAAGTTAACAGAAAAGATGGACTTCAGTATTATAGCCTGGTGAATTCTCAAGTTATTATAAAGTCTACATTGTAGTATGAAGTGAGAGTCATGCTTGGCTTGTGCCGTTCCACCTAAATAGTTATTTTTCATAGTTTCTCAGCACGATCCTCTACCCGGATGGGATCAGCCCTTCTTTACGGCAAGAGGAGATTCTTACGGATGACCAAAAAAGAGTGATCTTGACAGGTAGTTTAATATTAATAAGACTTTTCTGCTTAAGAACTGACTATGGCCTGCCATAAAATGTTACCATCAGTACTTTCGAAAGGAAGACAAAACATTTCAGATGAAACTGGATGAGCCTGTTCTGATAGTTGCCAAGAAGGGATAAAGGGAATCTGTCAAATGTAAGCAAATGACAACTCGCACCAACCATTTCTGGAATAGGCATATTTGACCTGATAGGGAAGGTAACCCTCGTAAATTGGTCTCAGCTCCTTGGCGCACGGGCTTTATTCTAACATGATCTGCTGGTTTCTGAATTGCTTTTCATTTATTTAACTGTTTTTTTTTTTTTTCTGGAAAAGTGGAATTTATGCCAAACTCCAGGTGGTTTAGAACAGAAATCTGCTCTTTTCCCACCCTCCTGACTCTGGGAAGTTTCATGTTAGGTTTTTGGTCTTTCAAATTAGTAGTACAGCATGAAACGTAGACCAACTTTTCACATAAAGCTCAGCTCACAATCAATCCAGTTTCTTGAGTTGATTCATCAGGGTCGGTTAACCAATTATTCAGCTGTTAAGCAAGTAATTGTAATATCGAGATGAAGGAAAACAATTACAGTAGACAGGACAAACCAGGTGTTTCCCATGAAGAGAATGTCACTTTGTAGAGTTCGTGGCTAAAGGAGAATGCTTTTTTTTAAAAAAAAAATTTAATGTTTATTTATTTTTGAGAGAGAGAGAGAGACAGACAGAACGCGAACAGGGGAGGGGCAGAGGGAGAGGGAGACAGAATCTAAAGCAGGCTCCAGGCTCTGAGCTGTGGGCACAGAGCCGGATGCGGGGCTCAAACCCAAAAACCATGAGATCATGACCTGAGCTGATGTCCGATGCTTACCTGACTGAGCCACTCAGGCGCCCCTAAAGGAGAATGATTTTTTACTCATTATTAGGTGTAGCTAGAGATGAAGTTCATTATATGGTAGTAGGAAGTAGCAACATTACTAAGCATAATAAAAGCCTATTGTAAAACTCATAAATGGAGTTGAGAGTATTACTTAATTTGTTTCACGCAATCATTATTCATGTTCTCCAAATATTAACCTTCTCTCATAGAATGAAGGAAACTTGTCTAGGTTACCAATAATGAGATTAAAGCTCTGTTTAACACATAATCAAGCAAATCTTTAATTAGTTGTCTTTTCTAACTAAAAAAACTGCTCAGTGTTTTAAGAAAAGGGATGGAAGTTTCTTATTCATTTAACAGATATTTCTTCATGTCTAGCACTAGTCTGGGCTCTGTGTGGACGGGGTTGGACAAAGCAGACAAAAGCATCTTTGGCCCCACAGAGCTTGCCTTTCACTGGGGAAATAGAGAGTAAACACGATACACACCTGTAATATAAGATATAGTATATTATATCGAATACTATGTTGACTCTATTAGAGATAAGTGCTATTAGAGATAGTGCTAGGAGATAATCTATTAGAGATAAGTGCTAGGAGAAAATATATAAAGCAGAGGAGGCATGCAGAAAGTGTCAGTGGCATGGCCCAGTGAGTGTCGAAACTTTAGATCAGATGCCCAGGGACAGCCTTCCTGAGAAGATGATCTTTGAATATTGGCCTGAAGGCAGTCAGCAGGTGAACCATGTGGTTGTGAGCAGGAAGAGTTCTCCAGACAGAAAGGATAACTAGCAGGGGTTTGTGTGGCATCTTCCAGGAACCAAAGAAGCCTGCACACCTGGAGGAGGGGGAGGGGGTAGCAAAAGATGGGGGAGCGGCGATCACGGGGCCAGGTCACAGAGGGCTTTGAGAGTCCTAAGAGACATGTTAAGTTTTGATTTGTATTCTGGATGAGGTGAGAAGACACCATGATTTAGACATTGTCTATTGAAAATTCATTCAACAGATACTTAGCATACTCTGAGCCTTAGTATATTCTTCTAAGTCGGTGGATAATAGAGGTTAATATCATGGAAATTACATTCTTGCTTAGAGAGACAGACATGTAAGTCAATATACAAATTATCAATTATACAACTTTCAGTACTGTTTAAAAAATTTTAGTATCAAATAATGAGAATGACCTGGAGGGGTAGGAGAATGCTGTACGATTCAAAGGAAGCACCTCACAGGAGGCCATCTTTCTAAAAGATCGCCCTGGCCTCCTTGAAGAGAAGACACTGTAGGGCCAGCAGAGGAGAAGAGAGACCAGCCAGGAGGCTATTCCAGCAGATGACAGTGGCATAGATCAGAGTTGGAACAGTGGTCCTGGAGAGAAATAGATTCAGGAACCGTTTGAACGCAGAGCTAACAGGCCTTGCTGACAAATTGGATAAGGGATGGGATGAAGAAAAGGAAGGACCAAAATGATCACCAGACACTGGAGAGATGGTGAGGATGTTTCCTAAGGTGGATAATACTAAGTGAAATAACAAAACCTGAAGGGAAATGCAGAATTCCTTTTTAGCCTTTTGAGGTATGTTTGAGGCACCCATGTGGCAATGTCAGATTGGGCTTTTGGACATAGAATTTGGAGCACTTGGAGGAAGTCACAGCTGAACATAGACATTTGGCAACAAAGAATCTTTGGATGCTGGTTAGAGCCCTGGTCTTGAGCATATCACCTAAGGGCTGTGCTCTGGCTCATTCTCACACTGAGGGATCTTGAAGGAGCCAGTAAAAAACTCCCTCCTCCCCCAGAAAAGAGTATCATCATGGAACCCAAACCAGGAAGTGTTTCCAAAAAAAGGGAATGGTCACTTGTGTCAGATGTTGCTAAAATGAAGATTGTGATGAGGAGCAGAGAGTGATAATTGCCTGTGGCAATTTGGAATCACTGGTAACTTTGACAAAAGACAGAGTTCTTAAAAATAAGACATTCGTATAAACTAACTTTAACAAATGCTGGAAAGAGCATTTCACTTAATCCCTAAAGAGAGACCACTAGGGAAACTTATGAGTCTCTAGCCAAATCAATTTTGAAAACTGGCTCATAGAACAGATGAACAAAGGAACATATAATTAGAAATGCTCACAAAGGTGTTGCATGAGTTGTAAACATAGTAAGAAGAAGAATAAAAACAGAGTGGGCTGAAGCCTGGGAAAATGCTGAGGAGAGCCAAAGATTCTAGCGTAATTTAGAGCAAAGCAGTGAATAAGGAAGTTAGTGGATGTGAGTGAAAGTAGAATTACTCAGTTTCTATTGTGCTTCCCTCTTCTTTCTACATAAAAGAAGATAGTGTTCCAAAATGGGAAGGAATTGACAACACCAAAAGAGAGTTAAAGTCAAAGGGTGTCGAGAAGTTATTGTGATCACAAGTAACTTCTTTAAATGGGAAAGAATAATGCTGGGATTGGTCAAGAAAACTTGTTTGAAGAAATTGTGTTTCAGTTGAAACTGAAGGATGTCTGGATGCCAGTCAGATGGACAGTTAAGAGAGAACAATCCAGATAGAGCAAAAGCACCTGCTGAGTTCTTGACCTGGGTAAGAGTTTGGTGCATTCAGTAAGCTGATAGAGGGTTTAAATGGAAGGCAGGGGGTGGAGAGGGGCACAAGGTGAGGCTGGAGAGACCACTTGGGAAGTCATTGCAGAGACTGGATAAAACCAAAGAAGACCAGAGAATGTGCCACTTTAATAATTATTTGTTGCAGAGATGGCCTATACTGGGAAGTTGAGCCAAATGACATTTATTACCCCTTGTATCTTATCCTTTATTTAATCCTTTTTTCTAGTTTATTTATTATTTTGAGAGAGAGGGAGCCCTACGCAGTGCTCAAACCC